GATTACCTGTCAAAGGTTGAAGCTCTGATGAGAAAATACCCAGCTCCACCTGAGGAAGAGCTCCACCCAGAGGTCTGTGCTGAGAAGGCCTGGACCCTGATGAAGTTTGACAAAGAGAAGAAGCTGCAGGCTGCAGAGCTCTTCCAGAGAGCTGTGAGGATGCAGCCAGACAACGTGGAATGGCAGACCAGCTGGGCCATATTATCAGCAGATCCCTTCAAAGCTTACATGAAGGACATGACTCCTGATGTCTTGGAAAAAGTGAAATCTGCCACAGAACGAGATCCAGACAACTTGTATGTTGCTGCTCTTTATCTGGATGCACAAGGTGCAAAGGGAGAACAAATTCAGGATGAAGCAAAAGATTTAGTTGTAAAGATTCTAGAAAAGCCAATGCACAACTACTGTGGGATCAACCTACTAATGAAGCTGTATACAAAGTACATATCTGTAGACGAAGCCATTGAAATAGCCGACGAGGTCTTGAAGAGACATCCTGATTCACGTTTTGTAAAGAGGTCTGCAGCAAAATGCTACACAAAGAAAATATTTTCTCAGGAAGGCAATCCTGATCCCAGAATAATTAACAAAACAATCCATCTGTGGGAAGAAGTGATTGATGCTTACTCTGAATGTTCCCTGAAAGAAAAAATATCTCTAGCTGCCATCTATTCAAAGGTAGACATAGAGAAAGCTGACCAGATTTACAGAGAGCTTCTGGACAGAGAAGATCTGGATCCAGCAGAAAAACAGATGCTTTACAAATATTATGCAGACTATTTATACTTTGATAAGAATGATACATGTGGGTCTATTGAATACCACATGATGGCAGTAGAGATTCAAGAAGAATCTGTTTATCGACAGTTTAGTATTGATAAACTGAAGAACATAAAAAGACTCAGGGACCCTGAAATGCAGAGAAGGATCAAGGAGCTCCTGACATCCCTGGGAATAAACCAGTGAATAAACCTGAAACTCTCTGAAATCCTAATGATGATCATAGAAAATAATAGTGATGTACATCAAAATAGCTAAGGAAGACACTGAAGTGTCTAATGAAGTAAGTTAATTAAGCTTTGATGCATTTTCCTTGATCTGGTAGAAAGTTATATTACTGTAATATAGACACAGAAAAGGGAAATGACATGTGAAACCTATAATTTTTCTTTTAATAAAATGTTTCTTTAAACTCCAAGACCACTCAGCTCCTCTAGTTCAACCCTACTCTGTTCACCCAGAACTAGAACCAAACATGGAGAAGCAGCATTTAGTTCCTAAGCTCCACCTATCTGGAAAAAACTCCCAGAAGACTGTAAAAGTGCTGAAAGCCTGAGTTATTTAAGTCAAAGTTAAAAACCCATTTGTTTAGAAATGTTTTTGAATGTTGAAGTTAAACTGTTACCTGAGCTATTATTGGTTTAAGTGGTCCAAGTGTTTTATTTGTGTTACTACCTGTTTTTCATCTCATTTATTTTTAATCTGCTTTTATTTTCATTCAATTTTATTGTCCAATTCATGTAAAGCATTTTGAATTGTTCTTGTACTGAATTGTCTAATAATAAACTTGCCTTGCCTTTCCTTGCCTTTAAACACATGCCCTCTACTGAAATATTTGTTCTTTTAGGGAGGAACATTCAAATCCGTATGAAGTGAACAAAGGCAGAAAGAAAGCAGAAGGATTTTGATTCATAGAACTTTTCCTCTCACTTCTAATTTTAAAAAAATTGTTTCATCTTTTCAGATTAGGAAATATAGGTACACATGTTGTGTTGTGCGATAGGGTTGTGTTAAAAAAAAATGCAATTCTGATTACATTTTATTATTATTTTCTAAAGATCAATTTATATAACCAAAGATCTTCCAGGGTTCTCATCAGTGTTCCTCAGCATAGCATAGTCTCCCATAATCTCCCAGACCTTGACATTATTTTTGTAATGAAATGATACACACATTATAATGTCTTAAGCTTTTATTTCTGCTAAAAAAAAAAAAGATTTTCTGCTTAAAGCACGAATCAGAAATTTGCACTCATCAAAGAATATGTGAGACTTAAAAGGTCTTTACAAAAATATTTTGTAATCTGTAAAATGGGCTTCATCAGAAAATTTTCTTTGGTGGAATCTGTGTTTAGTTTCCTTTCCTCAACGACATAAAAAAAAAAGGGAATATTATTATTTTCACTCCCTAGACTGGTTAAACTGGGTTACATTATTACAATATCTTATGATGCAGAATATTACAAATATTTGATATCATACTCAAATATAGTTTTGCTGTATAATGTCTTATTTGTTTAAGGCTAAGTTTCTGTTCTCTGAAAATCCAGCACAGGTAAAGAAACAGAAACTCTGGAATGTTTTGAAGTGACTCTTAATATTCAAAATCAACATCAGTGAAGTAAACCATTTACCATTGGAACTAATGGAGGGAAAACAATTAACTAACAGACTTTACATCAAATTAATAATCAATCGTCCTTATGCTCCAGGGTTACCTGTGGAGTAACACATGGACCAAGCAGTTTGTAATCCTCATAACTCCGTTTAGAAGTTTAGAGAGAGAGGACTTCTGGCGTTGAGGTCCCTGAAGGTCAGTGGCTGATTCAAATGAACCATTCCTTCTTTGAGACGGTGAGAAAAATCTTCTTTCAGTACAGTTTAATGTCATCTCTTTTTTTTATAAGAAAAAAAATCTTTCCAAAAACTGCTCAATAAATTTAAAGATTATTTGAGAAAAAAAAATAGGAGAAATATAAGTAAATTTCACTCCATAATTTGGGCAAGAAAAAACGAAATAAAATTTGAAATAACAAGGTTGATTATTTCAACTGTGTTAGAAAAAATTGTAACTAAATGACTTCAATTAAATTGAATTAATAAAGAGCAAATACTTAACAGATAAGAGAGAAAAAAAGCCATTACTGATAACTTTTTCAGTTGGGGAGAGGAATGGCAATGTGTGTTTTTACACCCGAGTATAAAAAAGACCCTTGACAAAGGTTAAATAAGAGAGCTCTCCAAATGCATTCAGCGAAAAGGCTTTGCCATAAGACACTAGATTTGCTTAATGTGGTGCAGATTTTGATGTTTTCAATGACTTGACTAAGCTGACCTGCTATTTCTGTGTTAGAGCTGAAATTTGATAGAATGCTTCCAACACATCCTCGGTTTAACCCAGAGGCCTATAAGGCGATGCTTGAAATCACCATTTGTATAATATATATATAATCAAAAGTTATCTTTAATAGTAGACTCAGGAGCAAAAACTTCTGTTCTTAGTGCAGTTGAGTTCTCTGTCCCTCTAAAGCTTAGTGGAAACTATGTTTTTTTCAATTTCTGCCTCTGGACAAACGATAAAAGGGCATTTTATAACAACTATTGCATGCATCTCACCTGAGGGGTGCTTTTTTAAACATAGTTTTTTTGCTGTCCGGGCTGTGCAAAAAAAATAACCCTTCTTGGGACAGACTAATGTGTGATTTAGAGATAGGGTTAACTTCTTCCCCTGAAGGGCTGAAAGTCTTTAAGCGGTCTGAACAGAGGAAAAGCTGCACAGAGTATAAATGCTGCAGACATTGTGAAGGACAGCTCATTTTCATCAGGAATGTCCGTGTATCAAGCATAATGAGCCCTTAACTTTGGATCTCAGAGAAGCAGAATGCCACACCATGAGAGCAATGTTACAGGGGTGTTCTGGTCAAGATTTAAGAGGCAATAGTCCTGTTTTTTGTTGTTGTTTATTTCTTATTAAGAGGGATGGATTGCTTTCCAGGATATGTTTTTTTTTTAGATTAGAAATTTGTTAGAATTTGTTAGTCCAAGGGCTTCCTTTGCTGCATTTCATTCCTGTAGGTGGCAGTGTTGCATATTAAATTTCAGTATCTGCCACCATAACGACAAGAGAAGAAGGTGCACCTTTCAACATGTTAAAATGCTTCAACCATTATAATATCATTAGCAGAGGTGTCAAGTAACAAAGTAAAAATACTTTGTTACTGTACTTAAGTACACTTTTTAGGTATC